GTGATTTTTTCAACACGGGGTCCCCAGAAGTCTCGACCCATTCCCCAGTAGTGTTTTTCCATCCTGAGTAGTTTTTTGACGGTCCCGGGGCCCATCGAGGGCCCTTGGAGGCCGAAAATTGAGAAAAAAAACATCGTTTTGATTCTGTCCATGCGTTGGATCTCTGTGGAACGGCTTCGGTGGTCGGGGTGCTGATGGTGGGGGGGATCTTTTCAAGCAGCGGCGAAGCGTCCAGGCTCGCCTCACCAAAGGATGTTCTAAGAACCTCGTGTGGTATGCACGAAATGTTCTTAGAACATTTCTGACTGAGACTGTCGTGTCTTACCACATCGGGCTTATGCTCTAAGAACCGTGTTTTTGTCCTTGGAACATTTTGGGTTCTGAGAACATGTCGTGGTAGGCCTGTAGGAATGCTGGGACGGTCGGTCCCTGCTAAATCCTCGCAGGCGAAGAGGAGGAGGAGGAGGAGGAGGAGGAGGAGGAGGAGGAGGAGAACAAACAAAAAAAAGTATGCCCGTTTCCACCAGGCCCCCGAGTTCCGCTCCATCTTCTGCTCTCTCTCCAGGACTGCCTCCGGCACTTCCCCGTGCGCCGGCCCGAGTCGCCGCGCGGCCGCGCGGGCGCGGCGCAGGAGGGGCCCCCGCCGACGGAGCGCAGCGCGGGCGAGGCCGACGGGGAGCGGGCGCGGCTGGCCCGCGAGCGCCTTCGCGGGGCGCCGGTGGTCTACCAGGAGGGTCCACGCTGGGGGGCGACGGGCTCAAGGGTTAAGTCGGGCGTGTCCCTCTACGGGAGGAGTATTCAAAAATAGTCAAAAGATAGTCTGGGGACGATTTCGTGATTATTTTTTTGAATATTTTGATGTATTTTTAGAGTATTTCAAATTCTCCATCCAAAATCAGCCTGTAGGGGGACACGCCCGACCTAACTCAAGGGGGGGAACTATCGACCTGGAGTCGGCGATACATCGCCGACAGATCGGCGAGAGGCCCCAGATGCCGAGTCCGAGCTCCTCGTCTGGGGGTCGATGCATCCCCCCTGAGCCTTTCCCTGGGGGGACGAAGAATGACACACACATAAAAACTCGGAGGTCCACGCGGATTTCTCGGATCCGCGCTGGGGCCCCCCTGGCGGCGCCTCCAGCGCCGCCCCTGGTGCGCGGAGCGCGCCAGGGAGGGGGTCCAGCGCGGATCCAAGAGATCCGCGCGGACCTCTGTTTTTTTATGTTTATGTCATGTGTCGTTGCCCTAACAAGGGGCGTGCGTCGCACCCTCGGCTCGGCACGAACGTCGCCATGCAGCTCGAGCTCTTCTCGTACGGGCGCCGCGCGCGCGGCGTGTGGTTCGCGACTGCACGTAAGTCGGGCGTGTCCCTCCACAGGAGGAATATTCGAGAATAGTAAGAATTAGTCTGGGGACTTTTTTGGGGGGTTATTTTTGATTATTTTTGACCATGGACCATGGTTGAGCATTTTTCTGCTATTTCTAATCGTTCTTTCAAAAACCTCCTGTAGGGGGACATGCCCGACCGAAATCTACACGTAAGAGTGACCCCTTCGCCGACGTGACCCATGGTGCGGGTCCACTGGGGCCCCCGGATCGCCGAGCGCGGTGCGACAGTGGCGCCTTGCACGCTCGTGTTTTGACTCCCCCCCCCCCGCGGGCTCCCCAAAAGCCGCGCACCAAAGGCCACTCTAGCCCGAGGTCGCTCCTGCGTGTAGCCGAGGTTCATGCTTGGCAAGAGCGTGGACGTCGCCGCCGAGAGGACCGGCAAGTGGCCCCTGATCGTGCGCTCTGTCGGCGGCGGCACGCGCGCCACCCTCTTGGGGAAGGATGTGGCCCTCCATCGCGTGGCTGGGGAGTTCTTCCTCGGTGCCGATGGTGGCGGCTCCTTCGAGCTCCTGCAGTGCCTCCAGATCTCTCTGTCGGCCGAGCCTGCCGACTGGGGCTCGTCCAGCCACTGCGGCTCATCCTGCGCGGACTCTTCGGAGGCCCTGGCCATACAGGAGCCAACTGGGAACTACGGGGTCAAGCTTCCGGTGCAGTCCTCAGGCACGAAGGCGCCCGTGGACATCTTCACTTCGGAGGCGCATCTCGCCGAGGCACTTGTCGAAGTCCTCAAGATGTATCCCGCTGGCATCGACCTGGCCCAGCTCAAGCCAGCCATTCACAGGAGCTCCGGCATTTGGGTCTCCGAGGCGCTCCTTGGCTACAAGAAGCTCCGCGATCTCATCAGGTTTTGGCGGCGCGCAGGAAGGGGTAGGGGGAGGGGGGAAGGCTTCTTTGAAGGAGGCTGCTTCCTAGAGGGTGCCGGCCTCACATCTACAGATAAGGCCCGCGCCTTCCAAGCTTCTGAGAAGCCTTCCCCCCTCCCCCTGCCTCCCTCTGCGCGCCGCCAGAGGTCGCCCAGCCTGTCCAAGGCGTGCCGTTTCCAGTGCCAGGGCAGTGGCAGCCGCGTGTTCGGGTGCACCTCGGCGGTCCAGGCGGCGGGCCACCTGCTCTGAGCAGGTTCGGCTGAGTTCTGTGGTAGACTCGCCAGGGGGGCTGTCCCGCCGACGGTCGGGCCTTGATTCGCTCCTCCAGCTTGTGGTTGAGGCGGGCAGTCGTGCGAGTTTCTTCGTGCGTGCTCATCCGCTTTGGCTCGGACGCCCTCATCTGTCGTCTATGTGCATCTCATATCCCCGTAGTTGTGGGTCAGAGTGAGGGGGCGGCGTCGTCGTCGGCAGTCTGTGAGGCTTTGACAAAGCCCTCCGCAGGCGACGCTTGCTTATAAATGGCACGACGAGCCCGCCGCAGGCGTCGAATTTTCCTCAACGCAATGTGGGTGGGTCGCGGGTGGGTCGAGGGCAGGTCACGGGTGGGTCGAGCAATTTGGTTCCCAAGGCGGCCCGGGATGGCTCCTAAACACCCACTGACACAGAGACCATAGCCTAAGGGGATTTGCAGCAGCCGAAGAAACGTCCCAAGACGGAAGACGGCCTCGTGAACGTTTTTGTTCCTTCCCGGGTAACGGTCGTTACCCGGGGTGGGGGGAGGGTCGGGCGGGAGGTAACGGTAATGGCGGCCGCGGCGTGCACCCGCCAGGGTGCGTCCGCGCCACCAGCGCATCAATCGACTGTGTGCACCATAGTTCTTGTGTACACGACAGTGCCTAAGACCTGCAAGCGACACAGCGCCGCCTGTGTACGCCACAATGCTTTCGTACACCACAACAGCCGCGTGAACCGCAGCATCACGTCGCCTATGTACACCGCTGTGCCTGTGTAATCTGCAGCAGCCGTGTGCGCAACAGTGCCTGTGTACAGCATATTGCCTGCGTGCACCAGAGCGCTTGTGTACACAACCATGTGTACCGCAGCGCCTGTGCACACCACAATGCCTTCGTGCACCACAACGCCTGTTTACACCAAAACGCCTAACGTACCAGCGAGCACATGAGTAGCTTGCGAGGCCTCTTAGCCGGGCTCCCTACAGATCACGAAGGCCTTCAGGATTCGTCATTCATCTCCTCCTGCACCTCCTCCTCTCTCTCCTGCACCTCATTCTTCCTCTTCCTCATCGCCACGCCGCCGCCGCCAAAACCCAAAGACACCGACTGGAAAAGGCCGACTTCTCCTTCCTCTCCTCCTCCTCCTCCTGTTCGTGGTTCTCCTCCTCCTCGCATCTTTGCTGAGCTCACCGCAGAAGTGAGCCCGCCTGACACATGCGCATCACAATAGCCTGCAAGCGCCACATCATGCACGTGAGCACGGAAACATGCCTTTCAGCACCACGCCATGCCTGTGAGCTCGGCACCGCAACAGGTGGGGAGCCTGCGAGCGCCACAACACGTTTGCGAGCACCACAGCATGCCTTTCAGCACTCCGCCATGCCTTTGAGCACGGCGCCATGCCTGCGGGGGGTCCGCCCCCTAGCATGTAGTGGCGGTTCCAGGCCACCCCGCTTAGTACGAGGGTTAGCGTTACCCGGGGTGGGGGGGGCGGGTTCGGCCCGGGTAAGGAGCGTTACGCTGGGGAGGGTAAAGAACGCGGGGCCCAAGAGACCCCTTCACTCCAAGCTGGCCCAGTCGATCTTCAATGTCCACCCGCAGTGGCCACCTGGACGGTTCGAGGATTCCAAATGGCTCTCCCACGTACCGGGTGTGGGTAGCCCCCACAGTTCCGTGGGCATCCGTGGAGTTTTGGGGTGCTTTTGGAATTCCCCTTTGATTTGCTCCAGGTGACCTCAAGGGCGCTCCGCATGAGCTTCAGACGCCCCAAGAGGCAAGGGCCACCTTGCGGCTATGGACAGGAAGGCTTTTCGGAGGAGGCTCGAACTTTGCGCGCGCCTCAGTCCTCCTTCAACCTTCACCTTCCCCCGTCATGTATCGCAAGCTACGCAAGCAGTGCGAAGTCGTCTCATGTGGCTGATCGTGCCGAAGCATGCTGCCAGCCATACAAGCGGTTGCATTACAGGATTTTCCCAGGTGCAGTCAAGCGGATAATCATAGGGCCGTTCAGCGTCCCATGATTTTCAGTTCCTCCCCGTCTTCCTTTCCTCATCCTTCTTCTCTTTTTATTTCGGCTGGACTGCCTTCACCGGCCAATGCCATTGAATGGGTGATCTTCCTTGTGAAGGCTTGCCGCGGCGGAAGGCAAGTAATAGCGGGGGAATAACAGCACAATGTCGAGGGGGGGGGCCAGATAATTGAGACAAAACGACCGTCAGCGTTCTGATTGCGCGTTGTTGTCTGCCCCCCTGCACGTCCTGTATTCGTCGCTGGCACTTTTTGCGCGCCTCGAGGCAACCGTCTCGCTGCAAGACAGCGGAAGCGTTTTTTTTTGTCAGTTTGTCGGAGTCTCGGGGGCGCTCGTTCGTTGTAGCTGGTTGGGGTATCGTGCTCCCTTCCATCTCGATCAGCACAGCTGTCCAAGTATGTCAGAGGCGAATAGTTTTCACTTTAGGTTGCCCGCAGCGGCTGCATCCCAATTCTCTTTGAGTTTCCGGCATCAAAGTCATGATGCAGCTCCGCCAGATACGTAGGCAAATTGCTGCTGACAGGCAGGCAGGACAGTAGAATGGGTTCGGCTCGGGCTAGGGCGGCAGGATACGCAGCAGGGGGCTAGAGATCCAACGAACAACGGGGACATGATGAAATCTTGCGTTCTCTTCTCATCCGAGAACCTCACTTGCACAGCGCCAGGCTGGGAGCCCGCTGCTGCCTTGACTCTTGTCCGTGGGGCTGAGCCGCGACGTCGCGAGCCCTGGAGGCGGCTTGGCGGGCTGAGTTCCCGGAGCACGCACCGTCTGTTCGGCGCCTGGCGCCTGGGAGCGGACCAGCTCAGCATGATGTCCATCGTCCCGCGGAGCACGGGCAGCGGGACTGGTTGGCAGCGTCGGTGATCTCCGCCGCCCCTCGTCGACCTGCCACAGGGGTGCACGGCGTGCCGAATTTTTTGGGGCAGGTCATCGCCCCTGTTGAAAAGGTTCCCAGGGGTCTTCGGCCCCATGCGCCGGCCGCCTGGAGAGCCGCACAGATGACGCCCTCCGCTGGCCCTTCCACCCCGCCAGGACCCATGAACTTCCCAGGTCGTCGGCCTCCCCGCTCCAGACGGCTCCAAGATGGTCTCCAACAAATCTTATACGGTGGGGGTATTGGATAAGGAACCCTTGAATAAGGAATCCAGGGTCTGGAAGCCAGGGGAACGCCGATTGAGGCTGTGTCATGGACAGCGTTGCCGCCCTCATCAGATGGGGAATCCCCCAGGGTCTGAAGCCTCCATTACACATTCCTTAACGAACGCCCCCACCGTATGGTCTCCAACATGGCTACGATGGCCCCAAGAGAGCCCAAGGTGGTCCCACGACGTCTCTGAGGCGGACCGAGGTGCCGCCGAGATGGCCCAAGATGGCCCCAAGATCGCCCGCGACGTCCCAAGATGCCTCGGAGATAGCCTTAGAGGCCTCCAAGAAGACCTTCAAAAAGGCCCGAAGTGGCCAAAACCATCGATTTTCGCAAAATCGGACGACCCAAGAGGCCCCCAAGACGGCCACAAGAGAGCCCCAAGACGGCTCAGGAGACCTCCAAGACGCCCAAGATGGCCCCCATGACGGCCCTGAAGCGCGCCACGAGGGCTTCAATTCGGCCCAGAGAGGCCACCAGGACGGCTTCCGACGCCCTCAGACGGGCTAGGAACACCCTCAGACGGCTAAGGAGCCTCCCAAGGAGCTTCCATATGCCCCCAAGAGGCCCAAGGAAGCCCCCCTAATACTTCCAAGAGGCCCCCAGGAAGTTCCCAGGAGGCCCAAAGAGGCTTTCAAGGTGCCTCCTCCTCATTTTTCATCCCTCTCATCCTCTTCTCCTTTCTTCCCAACGTGTGCCCCGAAGGGTTTCAACAACGTCTGGGGGAACACATAGTCAGATAGTTTGGCCGAGCTCTGGCAGCAATGTCCGGCCTCATAGGCGCTTCCAAAAGGCAGTGGGCGGCGGTGATTCGCCGTAGGCGTCTTCGATAATACGTATGCGGAGAGGTGATGGAGGCTGAGGAGTCACTCACATGCGCCTTGTTTCATCGGAGCGTGCGTCACAGCTGTAACCGCAACAAGTCGTACCACGGCGGCACCTACCTGTATCAAGGCACGACCATAATGCGGAGGGTTCGAGAAACGAAGAGAGGAGAGGAGGTGGATAATGTTAGCAGAGTCCACATTCTGGCTCCGTTTGGCCGCAGATCCGCTGTTGGCGCTGCACGGGGCCTTTACCTGATAGGGCAGCGGGCATCCCGCCGCCTGACCTTATCGACATTCGGCGGAACAGCGCGCCATATCACAGGACAATTCGTGGACAGCACGAGGTGGAGGCGGAGCCTTCTAGACTCATCAGGGAGTCCTTCGCTGCAAGTTCAGTTGCCGCCTCCAAGTCCACGATACGGCCAACGGCATGTATCATGACATTGACCCTCGCCGAGCGCCAAGCATGGCGCATCACAGGAAGATGCGGGGGGGAGAGGCTTGAGGTGAGGTGGCGGGGGTGTTGGGACCCCTTGCTGATGTGCGCCTCTTAATGGCATTGTGGGCTTCTCCAATTTCCCACCCTCTTCATTTGCCAGCCTGCTTCATGTTGTCCACGCAGTGCTCGTATACTCATTGTACGTTAACGCGTGCGTTCGATTCGTGTATTCAACACGAGCGATCAGACGCGGCGATCGCTTCGATCAATGCTGGTGCAACGTAGTGCAAGCCGTGCACACGCAGGCACGTGGTGCAGCCCGTGCTGTGGAAGCTGCGCAGTGCAAGCTGCGTGGCCGCCACGAGATTGCGGGGACGTGGCTGAGACGCACTTGGGGCATCGTTCAGACGTGAGAAGGGGCCCGCTTTGGAACAGAGAGAGAGAGAGACAGAAAGAGAGAGAGACAGAGAGAGCGCCTTGGCTGCCCACCCCCTGGCGCGCTCCAGAGAAGGCGTCGCCCCAGGCGCGTCCCGCGCTCGGCAGCAGGCCAGGCGGAGGGCTGGCGGAAGCAGAGTG